TTACCTACATCGCATTACGAGACGAATAAGTTATTGAGTAAACTGGGTCTGAGCTATAAGGCAATCCATGTGTGTAAGTATGACTGTGCTTTGTTTTGGAAGCAGAATGCTGCTTTGCAGTCTTGTACAGTATGTACTACAAGTCGTTGGAAGAGTAAAAAGGGAAAAAAAGTTCCGTGGAAAGTACTCCGATATTTCCCTGTGAAGGATCGGTTGAAGCGTCTATATGCTTCCCGTCACACTGCTAAGGAAATGATGTGGCACGTGCGAGGGATGAAGACTTAATGCGTCATCCAGTTGATGGTACAGAGTGGAAAGATTTTGATGAAAAATATCCACAATTTGCATGTGAACCGAGAAATATTCGATTAGGATTAGCTATTGATGGTTTCAACCCATTCGGGAATATAAGTCTATCATACAATATGTGGCCTGTTATTGTGACTGCATATAATTTACCCCCGTGGCTATGTATAAAGGACCCATATAAGATGTTAACATTATTGATTCCTGGTCGCAATGCTCCTGGAAAAGATATTGATGTGTTCTTAAGGCCCCTTATAGATGAGCTAAAAGAGTTGTGGGATGAAAGGGTTGTTGTTCGTGATGCTGCTACGAATACGTCATTTCGGATGCGGGCTATGTTGCTGATGACAGTTAACGACTTTCCTGTGCATAGCAGTTTATCTGGTTGGAGTGGTCAAGGGTACTTCGCGTGTCCCAATTGCAATGATGCAACTCCATCGAAGTGAATTACTAGTAAAATTTGCTTTGTTGGGCATAGACAATTGCTTCCTATGAGTCATAGGATGAGGACTAATAAAAATTTTGATGGTAAGGTTAATCGACGACCTCCCCCGCCTCGTAAATCCTTTAAGCAAATATTGACTCAATTAAAAAGGGTGGAAACTCGATTGCCAGGTAAACATGAAAAATTTTACAGTAAGAAGCGAAAGAGACAGCCGACAGAGCTTAATTGGACGAAGAAGAGTATCTTTTGGGAGTTGCCTTACTGGACCTCATTGTCGCTACGTCATAACTTAGATGTCATGCATATTGAGAAGAATGTGTGTGATAGTTTGTTGGGCACAATTCTAAATATTGACGAAAAAAGTAAGGATACAGATAAGGCGAGGATCGATTTACAAGATATGGGGGTATGTAAGGAGTTGCATTTGTATCAAGATGGAGATCGCTGGATGAAACCACATGCAGCGTACACATTGACTCCAACAGATTGTAAAAAGTTTTGCGATTTCTTAAAGTCAGTAAGGACATGGACATCTAGCATAAGAGAGAGATTCAGCAGCACCTGCTGATATAAATTATTCAACCTTATTGTTTTTTAATTTAATCTAAATTTCAATATAATAAAATCATTTAACATGTTTATATTGTATTGCAGGAATGGTTTAACCTCGATTATGACCGCGACGATGGTATACTTACGTCTGTGGTCGACAGGGAGGCTGCAAAATGTTATAAGGATTGGAAAAGTGACCTCTATGACTACTTCAAAGATCTTGGGGGTTAACAAAATGAGAGTGCAGTTAGGGCCTAGCCTCCTAAAAATCTCAGGAATCCAGCTCACTGGGGTCGTTGTTGCGATAGATTCATGTCCGATAAGTTTTAGGTAATTGAATCTATTTTATATGTTATTTTTATAAAATATATAATAAAGGTTAATTTTACTAATGCTGAATGTAATCATAAATAGAAAAAGTCGGGGATCAATAAACTTAATCGTAACAACCAAAAGTGGTCAAGTTTTCATGGTCGGCTATCGTACTCCCAACATCGCGATAAGAAAGTAAGTATTTGTTAATAATTTATTACATATAAATGTTAATTTGATAATCGATTACACTATATTTATATACATTTAAACTACTATACAGTCTACCATAGGGACTCAACAACTGATGTCTATCATCGATAACTAGGGGGACATGCATCGTCGTGGGGATACTTAGGTTAATCCCCAAGCTGAGTAGACTTTTGTAAGTATACTGGTAATGTTTAATTATATATTTTTTATTTAAATCACATTATGTATTTAATTATTTTTCTTATAATATTTGTAGCATCGGATGGAGGGAGAAAGAGAAACATAGATCCAGACGCAGTCTGCTACTTCTGGATCCTCCGCGGCAGGAATAGTTAATGAGGAGGATATTATGGAGCAGTTTCTAGGCACTCACAGAGGACACAAGATTGGAGTGGGTCGCACACTCCCACAAAAAATTTATCAAGGGGATGCGTCGTCATCTGGCTCACGCTCGGCAAGATCTTCTACGTTCTGAGCCACACGTAAAAGAATACTTACAACGGACTTACCAACAAAACCTCAAGCTGTACGAGAGCGTCAGAATGATGCAAGATTTCATCACTCAAATGCACCCCAACATAACTTTCTCAACGGTTACTCCTCCTGAGCTGTATGTCCGTCCACCTCATCCGCTTCCGAATCCTTCTGATGATAACAACGATAATTCTAGTGAGGCTGCTAATTTAGGAGATTAGAGTATTATTAATATAACAATTTGTACTTCTGCACATTTCTATTATAATTACAATTTTATTTTATTAATTACTTTTTACGATAATAACTTTTATTTATATTTTTTATTATTTATTTCATTTTATTTAATTCTTATTTATATTTATTATAATTATTAAAATGAGAAAAAATAAATAAAAAATTAAAATATTATTTGCGACGAAAAATGTCGTCGTAACAAATATATGCCACGTCAGCAACCATTGCGTCATTTGCGATGACTTGATTCAAAAAATGTCATCGCAAATACTGAATGCCATGTTATCTTAATGATGTACTCGACGAAATAATTGTAGCGACTCATTTACAACGAATGTCATCGCAAATATAATTGCGACGACTCATTGTCGTCACAAAAATTGTTTTTGCGATGAAATAGTTGTAGCGACAAGTTTGCGACGACAAGTGGTTGCGAAAAATATATTTACAACGACTTTATCTTTTTTGCAACGACTTTTTGTCGTCGCTAATAACCCTGTTTCTCGTAGTCAATTAAAGTTAGTTTTTAATAAATGATATAGAGCTGATCAGTTAGGGGAATACAGGTCCTGTCCTTCCAAGAATGGAGATTGGTGTTTCTGAATTCTGGGTTTGTTGCGTGGCAACGGAGGTGTTTTACCTCTTCACTAATATATTTATATATATATATATATATATATATATGTTGGGTACTTAGTGTTGGTTTCTCAAACCGGATTTTCAAAAAAAATTGTGCGGAAGCGTGGTATCGATCGAATCACATAAATCAAAATTTAATGCGATCATTATTTCATGTTAATTTAACTACAAAGATATTAAAGAAAGGAATGAGGATTTGACCGTCGTTCGATTAGGATGAAAATCTTAAACTCCTCTAACACCGTCTTAAGCTCTTAAATTCCAAGAACACCACGGTTCTTTCTCAATGTATCTCCGGATTAACGTGAACTCGAACGTGTGGGCATTCTGATGGGTTTCTCAACACATGAGATGGATGAATAGGGAAGCCACCTATAGTTATCACTCACTTTTCTCAAAAGTATATGATGGCACTCAAGAAATTTTCTTTGATTTTCTTTTGTTCTCCCGTTCTTTTCTTTTTCTTTCTTTAATAAAATAAAATACAACGTACACGACCACTTGATCTCATAGCATCGGGGGTTCAAGTCAGATAGGATTTGTGAAAGACTGCAGCTTCGATCTCGTGTTGTATTAACTAACAAAATAAATCTTATATGAGCATAGAAGCCAAGCCTAAAAATAAACTCTAGCTTATACGTCAAGGTGCTTATATATAGATTATATATATATATATATATATGTTGAACTATAACCAAAATAACAAACGAAGTTTTAACGTCAAAAGAATAAGCAGAGATTTTTTCAAAATTTGAACGTTAAATGTAGCTCAATATTAAAAACCATGTTAATAAAATCGAAGAGAACATCTGTGCTTGTTAAATCAACTGCATGTAGATAAATTTTTTTGATCACTGCTAGCTAATTGTGCCTTAATAAAATATGATAAATTACTAGTTGCCAAGAGTTTCTAACACAAGGATATATAAAATGCCAAACTGAATTAAACTAGTTTTAGAGAAAGGCAAACATCAATTTACCAAATGAATATAAAAGTACTCACAAATACGTTTTCCTTTTTAAAACGAATTTTCTGTATATGTATTGCATATGTGCACCACAAGGTCCACAACCAAACTTTTGAGGAAGTATGATTTAACATTTACCTACTCATGAACCACTTTATAAAAAATGTTAGATATAAAATTAGATCTGTCCCTACCCAGTAGTACTACTGACCGACTGACATTCCGGCATGAGTCGCCCCCGACAAATCCAAGATGTTTTTTAAACCATACTTTGGAGAACTCCTAGAAGCGAGGACGATGATGAGGAGCGAGCGAGGAACACGAAACAAACGAAGCCATTTTTAACAGAGGACACAAAAGATCGTTTTTTTGATCACATATACCGCTAGGTCTATGCAAATGATGTTTAACAGGAAGGACGATTAGGTTTTTGACAACGGCGAGACACTGGAGAATTTTAGATCCCTACAGAGTGTGGAGTTGGCCACGAAGAGGATGATTAATTTGGTCGATTTGATGTTTTATTAAATTTGACTCTTTTTAAATATATTCAAGAAATGTTTTTGCCGTCATTAGTTTTATTGGTTAATAAAATAAAAAGGACAGAAAAGACATTTTATATCCGAACAAAAACTTATACCAAAGTGATATTCGTTTGATCGTCAATGTACAATTTTAGTATTATTTTTATAATATATATAGGTGCCAGAGTGATATTTCTAAAAAGCATAGGTTACAAAAGCAATATTTCCCCTTCTTTCATTAAATTGAATTCAAGGACACTACTTTTCCTCGTCACTATAAGTATCATGAGCAGCATGATGATGAAAGAACATGAATCATAAAAAGTACAAACTCAAATATCAATAAACAATATGGGAACCGCCCTTTACCAAAATCCACCTCCTGATCTTCTCCAAGACCTAAAGGTCACTGTCCACAACTCCTCTCTAGTATTTCCCTCCGAGGAAACCGAGAGAAAAACAATGTTCTTGTCAAACATAGACCAAGTTCTGACTTTTGATGTCCAAACAGTCCACTTTTTCCCTACCCACAAAGATTTTCCTCCTCAACTTGTAACTGAGAAAATCAAAGAAACTCTTGGGAAAATATTGGTGCCCTACGATTTCTTGGCAGGGAGGTTGAATTTGAACGCTGAGAGTGGTCGTTTGGAGATAGATTGCGATGGTTCTGGGGCAGGATTTGTAGCGGCCTCTAGTGAGTATAGTTTGGATGATATTGGAGATTTGGTTTACCCTAATCCAGCTTTTTCCCAGTTAGTTTGCTCCACTTTGGACATGTTGAAACCAGATGTTCATCATCGGCTGCTTTGCATTCTTCAGGTACATGAGCTAAACAAACTGTCCAATTAGAGTCTTTCTATGTACATACATACATAGAGTTTTGAATGGTTACAATGGATAAATACTCACCGAGATCAATATTGAAATAACTGTTAAAACTGCACCATATTATATGTATATATATATATATATATATATGTATGTGTGTGTGTGTGTGTGTGTGTGTCATATAGGGCTTTAATTCTTTTGAAATATATGTTTCACCTTCTAAAGGGGTTTTCGCGGCAACAATAAATCTACCGAACAAAAATGTTGTTTAATAAATGATAAGGTTTTTGTGTTTTTGGTAAATATTTGACAGTTGTCTCTCTGAAAATTTCTGGAAAACTGTTCTGAATTTTGAGAAAAAGTAGTAATTTCAGTGGCTAAATTACTAAACGAAAATATAAATTTACAGGAAATAGTGTGAAACTATTAAAAGTTTAAAGGGTACAGATATTGAAAAATTAACAATCATTTCATTTAAAACTTAATACTCACTCTATAAGAATGAATTTGAATTCGTTATTATTGTTTTGTAAATTTATATAAGAAGTAAAATTACTGATCGACCAAAAGATTCGAAAACAGAAGTGCCAAATTACAACAATTTATGACACGGGTAGTATAATATATTTCGTATTTGCTCTGTCAAATCTGTTAGGAATTAATTAAATTGGATGATCTCTTAAACATGCAATTCTTTCTTATTCTTAATTTGTGATTTGCTGATCGTCTTATATTAAACTTCTTCACATGTATGAATGAGATTTTTAATGATTACATTTTCATTAGTTACCTATTAAATGTAAAAATCTGACGACATAACGTGATAAAAATCTAATCTTATTAATCGTCGTATATTTTTTCGGTCAACTAACTAATTTATTACAATCTCATAATTAATGTCATACGATCAAAATAATAATAAACACCTATAAATAAATATTGAAGTGACCATTAAAATCACATTCATTTGTATGTTTAACAAAGCAAATTAAAAAGGCAAATATAACTATCTTGTTATAACACTATTGGCTATGATTCTAGTTTATACACGTGATATGAAAATATGAAATAAATAGGGTAGTCGGACATAACATCACGGTATATCAATGAATGTGATTGTGATAGTGAAACGAAATTAAAACAGAAAAAAAAAAACAAAAAGTTCCTAGTCAGAATTTTATTGTGACCTTCTAGTTATATTTTTTATAAGACCGTAAATTTTTTGTACCCCTAAGTGGCAAAGTCGAACTACTACGTACGGGTCATATATATAAACATTAAAGTGAATAGTGGATGATTATGTAAAAACAAAAAACCAATTGGGTCCTTGCAACCGTCCTAGGGTTCACAATTATCATTGTAGCTGTATTTAATGAGACAATAATTATGATAGGGGCGCTAATTAGTAGACAAAGAACGTACAAGAATTAATTACTTATTATATGCTATGTTGTTTCGTAAATTAACCCGGACAGGTTACAACTTTTAAGTGCGGTGGATTTGCAATGGGTTTCACCACCAACCATGTAACATTTGATGGCCTCAGCTTCAAGCTCTTCTTGCAAAACCTAGCCTTTGTTGCCGCCAACAAGCCCTTGGCCGTCACCCCTTGCCACGACCGCCGACTCCTAGCAGCCCGATCCCCGCCACGCGTCACCTTTCCTCACCCTGAGCTACTCAAGTTGCCTCCAGTCACCGACCTAGGGCAATTAGACCCTAACCCTACTCATGTCTTCAAAGCCACCGACGAAGAGCTCGTCTTCAAGATCTTCCGGCTGAGCCCCGACGACTTCTCCGCCCTAAAAGAAAGGGCCAAATCAGGCGACGGAGACCGTGTGATCACGAGCTTCAATGTCGTCACCGCCTTCATATGGCGGTGCAAGGCATTGTCTTGTGACGCAAGTAATGACATGGAGAGGCAATCGAGGATCCTCTACGCGGTGGACATAAGGAGGAGAGTGGACCCCCCCTTGCCCCAATCATACACGGGGAACGCAGTTTTGACTGCGTACGCGACGAGGTACTATAAGGAGCTGGAAGAAGGGCCGTTCTCGAAGATAGTGGAGACGGTGGCGGAGGGAGCAAGAAGGATGACAAATGAGTATGCGAGGTCGGCCATAGATTGGGGTGAGCTTTACAAAGGGTTCCCTCACGGCGAGGTGTTGGTTTCGTCGTGGTGGAGATTAGGGTTTGCGGAGGTTGAATATCCATGGGGGAAGCCCAAATATAGCTGTCCAGTGGTGTGTCATCGGAAGGATATTATTCTGTTCTTTCCGGATATTGAAGATCGTGATGATCATGATGAGCCTGATGATCTCAATGGCAAACAAGAAGGCAGAGAGAGAAAAGATGGGGTCAACGTTTTATTGGCCCTACCGGCCAAGGAGATGGAGAAGTTCGAAACTTTATTTCACAAGTACTTATTAAGTGGTTGATATTTAGGCAAAAAAAAAAAAAAACAAAAACAACAACAAAAAAACTTATGTGGTTGCAGAGAGGAATCGAAAAGGAAACTTATCTTATTCTCACCATATATATTATCTATATGGACGGGGTTTTAATGGTTATTTAGTAAAATATATGTGGAGGGTTAACGTGTATACAGTGCCTTTTCAGGCCACATATAATCAAACTAATAGAGTAATTTCTATTATCATAATAGCGATCATGTATATAAATACCAAACTTAGATATATATATATATATATATATATTTGTCCAGTGCTTGCTATAATTTTATGTTGTAGGGAGAAGTATAAAAAGTCCAGTGCTTCCTTTTACTTTTCATTCAATTACCTTTTACTTTTCATTCAATTACTTATTTTTAATTTGGCCCTGATGAAATAATTTTTAGCAGATATATAATCATTTAAGTATTTCTGTTACATATCCTCGAAAACACCACATATCAAATGGCCCTTAATAAATATTTTTCTTTATAATTTCCTTTTAAAACATTTTTTCCTCAACTTGTCCTTCGTACATATATATTTTTTATAATATCCCCTTAAAATATTTCTTTTTTCTGAAACACGCTCCTATTCAAATATCTTTTTCGTTGTCACATGTACTTCAAATTAGTCCTGCCAAAATTTATATTTTAGTGACTGTGCTTACTTATATTATATTCAACCCAAAGACAGGGTGTGGTTTAAATGTATATTTTCATCTACTCGTTTTTTTTTAAGGAAATTTCATATATCTTTAAATGTGCCTCGCTAAAATAATTTCTCTCATGTGTATATTGATGTACGAAGTTGCTTGAATCGTAATGTTGTAGGGAGAAGTATAAAAAGTCCACAGAAAATTTCTATTGAAACCGCAAATATTTCACCAAAAATCTCCTCTTAAAAGTTCCGCACAAAGGGGGAGATGAAGAAGAGAGAGTATATAGAGAGAGAAATTCTGATGATATAAATAAAAGTTTAAGGAGTTCAAAACTTGAAAAATTTTGTAACCAGAAAAGAAAAAAATAAAATAAAGCGGCGCTATTAATATAATCGGAAAATCTTATCATGAGTCATTCAACAACATATCTAGTATGGCGTAAAAACGACTAATTAGCTTATATAACAACATTCTTTAGAACGTATGCTTTGCACTGTAATATATAATAATGTTAAAAAAAAGTTGTATATTAGCGTTTTAACAATGTGCATGGAATGATTTCTGTTAATTACTATGCGGGTTACCAATAGAAACGTGGTTGAAAAAAAATCATTTTTGACGAGGCACATGCTATTATATCCAAAAACAAAAAAAAAAATTACATCTGAAAGTTTACATGGAAGGAGATCATGCATGCACTAACTAATTATATTCTAGTAAGTCGACAATATATTACATGATAAGAATAGCCATAAGAAATTAAAAGGAAAAAATCTCCATCTTAATTCTAATTAATTATATTATATGGTCATGCATGAGATCATGCATGCTCTAACTGGACAATATATTTCATGATAAGAATAGCCATAAGAAATTAAAAAGAAAAAATCTCCATCTTAATTCTAATTAATTATATTATATAGTCATGCATGAGATCATGCATGCTCTAACTCGACAATATATTTCATGATAAGAATATTATGCCAAAAAGTAATAGTTCCTAAACTTATGAAAAAGAACTACCTGCAATATATTTATTCCGTGTTAACAGAAGGTATATCTAGGTGCAGTATTATATCCTTGCAGTACCCAATTACGTTAGCGGTCCTTTAGTTGCGGACAAAGAACAAAGGCAAATAACTCGACGAATATGTATTCACGACGACATTTTAAATTTATTTGCGACGACAATGTCGTCGCAAATAACTCTGACCTAATATACCCATCTTCTTCTTCTTCATTTTCTCTCGACGCTCTCTCTCTCTCTCCTGCAAAATCTCTCTTTCTCTCCTGCAATATCTCAGTCGTAGCCTCCTCTTCCCGTCGCCGCCGCCGCCGCCCCCGCCGCCGGCCTCTCCTTCTCTCTCCCCTTGTCTCTCTTCCCTTCTTTCTCTCTCTCTTCCCTTCTTTCTCTCTCTCTCTTCTGAGCGGATCTCTCTTTTTCCCCTCTCCTTCCGCCGCCGCCGCCGGCCCTCCCCTTCCCTCTCTCCCCTTGTCTCTCTTACGTTCTTTCTCTCTCTTCCCTTCTCTCTCTCTCTCTCTCTTCTTTCCCTTTCCTGCTGTCGCCGCCGCACTGCCGCCCTGCTCTCGCCGCCCTGCTCCCGCCGCCCTGCCCCCGCCAGGATTGCATAGAGGTGAGTTTTTTTTTTTTTCTTAAAACAATTCTGGTGACGAATTGCATTCACAATAACTTGTTATTAGAACTAGATTATACTTAGAAATTAGAATCATTTCCTAAGCATTATACTTAGAACTAGATTATACTTAGAACTAGATTATACTTAGAACTAGATTCGAACATGAAGAGCATAGCATTTTTTTTCTAGAATTTGTAGTCGTAGCCTTTCATAAATTATTAAGCTTTGTCAAATTAGACCGGCTTTAGATAATTATCTTCGTATATTTTCGAGTGATTGCTTAAATTTTCATATTTGTTAATTTAAATTTAACTTTATTGATCAATATTTTCTATTTATATGCATCATATAGATCAACATATGACTCATTAATTAGTAACAATTCTGTTGAGATTAAACTCTCATTGAATATCAATGTGAGAGACATATGAGAACAGTTAATATTAATCTTAATGCAAAACTTTTTATGAATAAGCAATTAATTTGTTTGTGTATCAAATTTAAAACTATAAAAAAGTAAAGTATTCATTCTTTTTTACGTTTTTTTTACTGTAGCCCTTTTTTTTATACAAGCGGATCAAGCCCATAATATTTTTTTAAACTCTCATTGTGTCTATATGTTACTCTAGATGTTAATAAAATGTTAATTTTGGTGTTTGAAAATTATGTTTGATGTTTTAATTTGATGTAGGCGTTTGAGTAGGCATTTGATTTTTCACCTTCGTCCTTGTTTGTATGGTTCCTTCGACATAATCCTTCTACTTTCAGCCACCGTTTAGTGGGTTTGAACTTCGTAAGTTTTTTATATTTATTTAGTTTAAAATTGTAGTAGTTGTATGAATTCGGGATTATGATGACAATATTTGAATTATGATTTTGTTATATTGTTGAAATTTAGTATATGTTTATGATTCTTATTCTGGGTGGCACATCTCGCAGCTATGGTGTGCCAAAATCTTTTAAAGTTATTTTTCTGCAGGTTTTGATTTTTAGATTATATGAAAAATAAGTCGTTATGCTGCCGAAATTTAGTTAG